GGGGACCAGCAGGCACTGGGGAAGTCCCTGTTCCCCCGAGCACTGCCAGGAGTGACCAGGAATAACGGTCACAAGCTGGCAGAGGGTAGATTTAGGCTAGATATCAGGAGGTGCTACTTCATGGTCAGGGCGGCTCAGATCTGGAACCAACCTCCAAGAGAAGTGGTGCTAGCTCCTTCCCTGGGGGTCTTTAAGAAGAGGCTAGATGAACACCTTGCTGGGGTCGTTTGACCCCAGTACTCTTTCCTGCCATGGCAAGGGGTCGGGCTTGATGATCTGCTCAGGTCCCTTCCGACCTTAGAAACTATGAAACTTGTCTGCACAGGAAATTAACATTTACCTACATGGTAGGGACTGAAGTCTCTTCAGGAGACTTATTTGCCCATAAGCACCATAGAGATTAGAACCCCCTATTTGGCCTGCACACCTATCCTTCCTCTCCTTCAAGGATAAACTGTTCAAATACTGACTGACAATCATGTAAATAAACAAGATGGGTGAGAGAAAGATCCTGTTCACTGTATCATAAAACTACCTTTGGGAATGAATAGCAGCTCTGCATATCCCTGGATGGCAAACCACCTTGATCAATCACTTTAGCAAGAAATTTTCCAGCAATGCTAAATAATGTGTCAAAGACTTGTTTCTACATAATATATTTTGCAAATGAGTAGGTGTATCATACCCAGTAACATAGCCAGGAAATTTGGCATCTGAGGCAAGCCTGCAGCAGCTAGCCTGCTCTTGCCCTGCACACAGATTGGGGGGGGGCACATACCCCACCTCCCCATGCTTGCCTGGGAGTGCATGCAGTGGCAGGAGCTGGCCCTCCCTCCACATATCCCTCTGAATGAACCTCTTGTGGCTCCATCTCAAGTGTTTCCCTGGCTGCGCAGCACCTGCCCCAGTCCCAGCCCCTCTCCTCTTTCACCAGGAGGGCTCAATCTGCTCCCCCACACTCCTTCCCCCGCCCCCCAACAGACTCACCGTCTGGACGCTGCTCTCCAGGCTTCCGAGCTGGCCACATGCATGCTGCGGCTGCATGCATGCATGTGACATTTTATCAATGACATTATTGGCCACATCAGCCAAAACTGTAAAAAATATTTATAATAAAATATCAACTGCAACTTACCTGTTGGTGCCCTTTTGCTTCATCAGCCAGGGCAGTCACCATGCTCACCCCTTCCTTGATATGGTACTGATCGGGCCCAAAGGTAAGGCTGTTTAGAACATACCACAAATTTTAGATAGTCTGTTCCAAAAGCTGTGTGGATGATCAAGATGTGAAGATGGCTAGATGATGTAGTGTCAGACCTACATAAATTAATGGTGGGCTACTGGAGGATGAAGGCACACAACAGATGGAAATGGCTGGAGATAGTGGAGGCAACCAAGCTTCTAGGGCTTATAGTACTAAATTATTACTATTAAAGGGGACAGGCACCCCGATGGATACATGACACTAGGCATGCTCCTTTTCCTGGAATCCTCATAACTACAGTCATCAGGAAAATGACACAAGGTACAGGATCGTGAACATCCTGCAACACATCTCATGTACTTCCAGTACTTAGATCTGATGGTACTTATCAACAAGACCCCTGAAGAGAGCAGCTCAGCTGAGTTTCAGAATATTCTGATCCAAAGCAGAATAGCCTCTGCCAGAGACTTACAAAACTCACTGAGAATTTCAAAACTAGCTTTCTACACCAAAAGCACCAGTCTCAATGATACTGGACAATTTGCCAACTTGTCAGCAAATTGGGTTTTCCATCAATATAGTAAAAGTCCATCCGGTAACAATAGCTGCTTGTCACCTTCCTATCTCAGGTCATGCTTTGGCTGTACAGTGGCACAAATCTTGAAACACCTTGTGCATATTTCTCTCTCAATACAATAATTCCTCTCATTCCTCATATTTATATATACTACTATTACTGTTAAAGGGTTGTCACTTTGATCCCTCAGCAAGCTGCACCCCATACCACATGTTGATGAAGACTCCACTTTTGAAGGCCATTATATTAACTAGAAGTTTAGCGAAAATTAAGGCCCTTATGCCAGGACCCAGAATTTGTAGAAGTACAAGGTGGGCATGCCTACACGTGTAATTAATGCAAAGCAATGAACTCCAGCACATCATATCATGCTAGTGTTTATTGCTCCTGCGCACCACATTTACACATGCGCCTGGGACTGCAGCACATTGAGCCAGGTTGGAGCAGCCCCTCCTGGCAGAGGCTTGAGAGGTTTCAGCCTGCCAGCGCAGGGCTTCTCTGATCCAGCTCAGTGTGTTCCAGGGCAGTTGGCTGGAGCACAAGGGTGCTTCAATGTGGGCTAGAGCCAGCAGCATTTAATAAATAGTACTAGTTAGAATTTACAAGTACTAACCTACGGCAGAGTAATTAGTTTTCTTTATCCTAATAGCACTGCACATGTAGATGCTAAGATGTTTACTGCAGAGTGAATTAGGCAACTCCACAGTAAATATCTTGTATAGACACACCCAGTTATTCTTAGACCTCACCCAAAGTTCCCATCTACTGTTATCTGAGATTTTTATATAAACCAGTCCATGCACATGACTGTTTTCTTTCTTACAATTGAATCTAGTCAAGGTGAAGTTTCACAAACTCCTTATAATCACATTTTACCTAGACAAAATGAAATCATTCAGGAACACACCCAGGTTATTTGGCCTTTGTTGACTGGGGAGTAACATACATTGTTATGGAGGTTATTAAAATGGATTTTGACCTGCACAAGAATTTGATTCAGGTAGCTCTTAATCACAGATTTCATCTCATTATGGTGTAGGCAGCCTTTACTGCCTTGCTGTTCCTATAAATGAACTACAATTCTAGTAGCTCCATGGAATTCAATACATACATTTACTACTCACTAATGTACAGGGTTCTAAACTGCATGCCAGCTTTGGTTGGTAATAATAAAGCAAGAATTCTTGAACTTGATTGCAGGCAAATAGCTATTTGATTAATCACCAGAAATGGAGTCCATGTATTCAGTCATGAAAAGAAGAGTAACTTTATCTTGCAGTTGTTACACCTAAGAAAGAGTGATTCCCCAGATTCCTGCCACTACAATTTTCTACTCCTCTAGGGGAATAGAAAAACAGTTTAATTGTTATCAGGTGATACTGATATAACAGATATGTCTGCATACTTCTGTAGCAATTCAAGTGTAGTTACATTTTGCTACAATAAAGTTATTGTTTATCACTTAATTTATTCTTTGTCTACTGATTTGATCTACTGTTTTGCAGTTGTATAAAAATACTAAATTATATTCTCCATTCAGGTTTTTACTGGGATCTTCACAGCAGAAATGGTTCTCAAGATAATTGCCATGGATCCTTATTATTATTTCCAAGTAGGCTGGAATATTTTTGATAGCATCATTGTTACTCTTAGTTTGGTGGAACTTTTTTTAGCAAACGTGGATGGATTATCTGTTCTTCGATCATTCAGATTGGTAAATATAATAATAAACAATGTAAACTAAATATACAGGTATTAGTACACTGTGCCTGTAATTCAAAATGTGTGTATTTACAGGAGTTCAGTTTCTTAGCCATTTCATTTCACATGTAATTTGTCTTAGATGATGGATGATGCCTCTCAGTAGAAATAGGTCATCCAAAAGTTATTTACATCATTACCACAAAACAGTTTATGCAGTATTATGGTTTACAAACAGCTAAACAGTGATTCAGCCAGAAGTGATGTTAATTACAGTGTAATTCATGTTAGCATGACTGCATAATGATCTTATTCTTTTGTAATTAATTTCAGCAAGCATGTGTTGGGCAAAGACATATTAAGAAAGGTTAAAGAGAGAAATTACCATCTTTATTTATTTTTATGTTGTGTTGCTTATATCAGAATAATAGAACTCTTCAAAGACTCGGTTTCTTTGACAAGACTGGGTTTTCTTGTTGCTTCCCATGACAAAAATTAACAAAAGTTAGCATTAAGGAACATATGTGAAATCAATTTTTTTTTAACCAGTGATAGTGAACAACGTGTTATGCCAAGGAAGAAGTATTTCATTTTCAAATAGCAGTTAAGTAGCTGAGACATAACTAACCAAGGGCTCCCTTTTCTCTTAAATTGTCATGATCTTCAGTATCTGGAAATAAAAATGTTTCATAAAATACTTTTCTTTCTTCTAGATCAGATGTTAGAAAAGTCTCCAATGAAGTTGTCCCCCCCCATCCCCCCCAAAAAATCTCAAATATTTGTAATTTTTTAAAAAACTGGCTTTTAAGTCCAGATTTAGGGCCACAGAGGTCCTTTCTAATCAATTTTTCTTATTTGGACTGTTTTAAGGAAACTGATCTTCAACAGAAGCCTGATAGTTTGATATGTGCTATTTCTTATCCACTCCCTTCCCTACATATTTCTAAAGAGTCTGCATTATGATCAGTATTCAGTATTATAACATTACATCAAGTTTTAATACTCCAATAATGTGAAGATAGAGTAGTGGATAGATGACCTGACTTTTCAGGTACTTCAGAAGACTGAACAATGACAGTCTGTAGTATAATTTTTTCTGTTGCTGATCAGTAGAATGTTGCAAAATTCTGAGAGACTTAATTGTTGATGAAAATTAGAAATTGGAGGAGTATCCATCAGTGGTGCTGTGGTATCAGTGGTGCTATTGATTTAAAATTAATAGAAGCCAGAAAAAATTCAAGTCAGAACCTGCCTGCCTGCCTTCCTGTAATCAATTCATAGAATATGGTTCTGAGAGTATTTCAACAGTTTTGTTGTAATTACTGATATGGTCTCTTTACTCTTGCTTTTCAGCTGCGAGTTTTCAAATTGGCAAAATCTTGGCCAACACTAAATATGCTCATAAAGATTATTGGTAACTCAGTGGGGGCTCTTGGAAATTTGACCTTGGTGCTGGCCATCATTGTCTTCATTTTTGCTGTGGTTGGCATGCAGCTGTTCGGTAAAAGCTACATGGAATGTGTCTGCAAGATCTCTAACGACTGTGTACTTCCACGCTGGCACATGCATGACTTCTACCATTCTTTCCTGATTGTATTCCGAGTGCTGTGTGGAGAATGGATAGAAACCATGTGGGACTGTATGGAGGTTGCAGGCCAAGCTATGTGCCTTATTGTTTTCATGATGGTCATGGTGATTGGAAACCTAGTGGTATGTAACCAGAACATTTCAAGAATTCATTTGGAGATAAATGTAATAATAATAATAATAATAGCTTTTAAGGTTTCAGTTTATTTTGGAAAGATCTTTGTATGATTCAACAGTCCTTATTTACATTGGGTCAGAAGTGTGCATTATCTATTGTTGCCTGTTCTGTTCTCTGTAGGTTCTTTTGCCATGCACTTTCCTAAGTATTTGAGTGCTTTTCAGTAATGTGTTAACAATGCAACTAATAATATCCATCATGTATTTTTAATTTCATTTTCTGCTTGGGGACATTGGCATTTGGAATGAAATGAGTTTTTTAAATTATTTTTAGTTATATTCATGCATGTGGTGATGAATGTTTGCTAAGGCAGGCACTGTCAAAACACAATTTTTGTACAAAACAGGAAGTGGTAGGTTTTCAATGAGTGTTCATTTCACAGTTTTTGGGCCAACTTCTGAGAAATCTCTGTTTCATTGTAGTTCCAGTGGACCAGAGGAGCCAAGTGGCTTTGATCTATTTCTCCAACAGTTGAAGACAGAATATATTTTCTTAACTCCTTTCTTCTTACTTGCATATTAGTCCAACGTGACGTTATCAGGTTCTGCCAGTAAATTTAAATGTACAGCTCCATTTTAAAATTTTCAAGAACACATTCCATCCTGGTCAACATTAATAAAGCATATATGATAAAACTATACAAGTAATTTTTTATTTTCATGGCTGACCTGAAAAAAGCGAGGAAGAGAGCCGAAAAAAAATCCTAGCTCTGTCTCTTCATTTTTAGGTACTCAACCTTTTTCTGGCCTTGCTGCTGAGCTCATTTAGCTCAGACAACCTTGCTGCTCCAGATGATGATAATGAAATGAACAATCTCCAGATTGCCATGACAAGGATTCAGATGGGAATAGATTATGTGAAAAGAGAAGTGTATGAATGCATCCAAAAAACTCTTTTCAGAAAACAGAAAGATCCAGGTGAAGTAAGATCCATTGATCAGCTAACGGATCAGAAAGATGGTTGTATTTCAAACCATACTGTAGCTGAAATAAAGAAAGACTTGCAATATCGCAAAAATGAAAATGGAACCACTAGTGTTGTGCTTGGCACTGATTATGCATCATTCATAAACAATCCAAGCCTTACTGTTACAGTACCAATTGCTGTTGGAGAATCTGATTTTGACCAGTTAAATACAGAAGAGTTCAGCAGTGAGTCAGAGCTGGAGGAAGGCAAGGAGGTAGGAATTGAAAATATTTTTGGTTGTTCTGGGTTTTGATATCAATTTATGTTCTTTCAGAATATAGGATAAAATATATATTCTTGTGGCCTGTAATTGAAGGCATTCATTGTTTCACAGAATTGGACTACTAGCAAGTAAATTACATATGTGTCAAAGTGAAAATTTGGAAATAGTGGAGCCAGTTAGAATTTCATAAAAGTAGTCTAAGCCTTTAGTGTTTGTGTGTTGAAATTAGTAATTTCTCCTGGCTTCTATACTGACACTTACGCAACCTAATATGTGTATTTACCCTATTTTATATACATAAGAAATTGATCCTTTGTCCTAGCCATATTATTTTTTTAATATTTTGACACTTCCCCTGAAGTAAGGATGAAATTCAATTAACACATTTAAAATGAATTTGAGCAGCGAGTGGGGAAAAGCCTGGGACTGTGCAGGCCAGGGTGGGGGTTTAAACCTCTCCCTAATCAGAGGTCCTGCAGGGGCTTGACTATGCCCCCCCTTTACCCCTCAGCTCAGCATTGTGGAAAAGAAGGAAGGGCTTCTCTAGTGCTCTCCGACTTCTAGCCTGAGCCACTGTGGGCATGTGCCTGCATTTCTTCAGTCCAGAGAGAATGTCTGTGGAGTTTCAAGCCAGTTCAATCTAGGAAGGTTAGACTAACCTGCAAAGATTGAGTCAATTTCGACTCAGGATTTTTGAATATTTGTCCCTAGCCATAGTATCTAATACTATTTTATAGAAAAAGAATAACAATAGTATTTTAATTTGAACATCTCCAACAAAGCTTTAGAAAAATAGAATGCTAAACCTAAAACATTTATAACTTCTTACTGTCATCTGTAGAAGTTCTGAACTGACAAACATAAATCTGACCTGCTTTGGACCTGCTCAGATTGGACCTGCTTTGGGCTTAATGCATTTTTGGATCAGGGATAAATTTAACCTACTGAAATTTCAGTTGAAATTATCTGTACTTCCTTAAAAAAAGTTACCAACATTTATCGTCATCAAATTGTCACCAAATCAGGCTTTACTTAAGACAAGTTAGAAGTCTTTATAGTTGTTTCTATTATCTTGTAATAGGTATACAGTCTTGGAATATTATTGTTTTCATTCAAATATTATTACTGCTCATTTATAAAAAGATAATGTGTTCCATGCATTTTATCCAGCTTCCAAACAATGCACATCATCTTAATCTGTCAGGCAACAGGCAAATGTGTATTTTGCAATTATTCGTCATGACATAAAGGATATAGACAGCTTTTAACCTTGCCATTACAAACTCATTTTTTAGGATACAAGGCCCCCAGTTGACAAGCACCAAGTCACTGCCTCCTTTAAAAGTTAACAGAAGATTTTTTTAAATATTCACAATAATTTTTAATGTTTAATTGTACTATATTTTGTAAATGCCTCTGATTTTTAACTGAACACGTAAATTAACCAAATGTGTAATTTATTATTGATTTGACGAATGGATGCTGGTTAGTTTACTAATGGATTTGGATGGGGCATGATTAGGGTTTTTTTTAGAAGTACTGTTGGTACTTCCAAGTATTATGATTTTTTTTCCTGATATTTCTATTTGAATTTTTTGACACCAAATTGAAATGATGCATCCTGGGCAATGGAAGAAGACATTTTACTATTACTTATTTTGTATTTCAGAATTGGAGTAATATATTCCATACCTGCTTACCTCTTACACTCAGGCTTGAACAAAAAGCCTATTCTGAAAGTGGTATAATCTGCTTTTCTTTTACTTTCAAATTGTGGAAATGGGCTCAGGTGATCACCCTGGCCAAAGAGAGATGGGCGATATCAATTAGCAGAGTAAAAATATCTTATATGCACAGTATTTTCAAAATCAGTAAATTTACTTTAGTTTTCTTTTTAATTGTCTAACTGAAAATAAATGACTTTTAGGTCATAAGAACATTCACAGATCCTAAAGTCCAGGGTTTTTTCCCCAGAACTGTTGCTGGGCACATGGCCCAGGCTGGCTGGCTCCAGTCCAGGATCAGCCAGAAAGAAGAGAGGTTTGCTCCCCACCTCTTTTTTTGTCCTCCGACATTCCAGTGTCTGGGATGGAGATGGTTGCACAGAAGGTGGTGTGGTAGCTCCTGCCATCTGTGTATACCTATATGCTAGAGAAGTCTGTGGGATACCTTTTCCTGGTTTCAATGTTTTGTATGACAGTGTGAGCTAAAAAGTGGACTTCACACATTAGATCTCAAGGTTTTTATCTAGATATGAAATTTTCCTTTTCCTTCCAGTGTTATATATGTTATATAGAATTCAATTTTATATTATTTGAAACATTTTATTATCTAATGCATAATTAAAATGATACATATAATGTAATGGAATTTCACATTTGTCCCATTATGTGTTCACTTCCTGCTTTGCTAGTAGACTAGGAATAATAATATAAAAAGATCTGGTCATTCAGAATGATAAATTTATAAAGTTGTTACAATCATTGTATGGATGTAGGTGTTTCACTATGTTAAAATATTAGTCCCAAATCCAATATACATTTACAGCTTCAAATATTCTGCTAACCAAATCTCTTTTGATACGTCCGTGGATATATATGTGTTGAAGTCTTTAATCAGCTGTTATGTTTTGCAAATTTGTTATATAGCTAAAAAAATATTTTTAAAGATTTAGGACACCATATTTTTGCTGTTTCCAGGGGTGAAAAATAGAGGTATTGTATTTTGTACTTCATTTCCTACCATTTTTACTTCTCACAGGAGTAAAATCAAGCTGGATCATTCAAGAATGCAGCTCTGGTGCTTTTTAACCAGGCAGACCAACGTGTCAGCACTTTTATACAGGTTACCTAAACAAATCATACATATGTGATCACTTTTTAAATAAATATTGACTGGCCTGCATGCTAATCAGCTACAGTATATTCCTTCCCCATCCATTGCCGTACAATAGAAACATGCACAGCTGCTCTGTAAGCAGTCACGTGACCTACATCACAGCATGTTCAGGGG